TAGATAAATCGATATATATATATATATCGCTTAAATTATTTATTACGAAATAAATAAGATACTCAAGGATAGATAGATAGATAGATGGTGAGGAGTGAGTGGATAAGAAAAGAAGAGAAGAAGGAGGAGGAGGAGGAGGAGGAGGAGGAGAGAAACAGACGATAGCGATTTCCATCGTGCAAGTAATCCAGAACGAGGATACCAATTAGGTAGACGTTATGTTACTACCTTATATACCTTCTCTTGTGTATAACGAGAACCAAACGAGGGGAGTTTCGAATTCTCTGGGAAACGAGCGTTTTGCGGTTTCATCGTTGCGGCTTGTAGAACGAAAGAAGAAGAGTAGGAAGAAGAAGGAAAAGAAGAAGAAGGAGGAGAAGAAGAAGAAGAACAAGAAAAAGAAGATCACGTTTACCACGATAAAAGAAAGCGATTCTTATTCCCCTAACCATCTTTTCTGTTTCTTATTCTTCTTTGTTAGAAAAAAGAAAATAAAAGAAGAAGAAGAAAAAGTAAGAAAGAAAAAAAAAAGGAAATACTTTTTCCTACAAGAAATACCATAATTCTTTCCATGGCATTCGAATATAGCGCTCGAATATATAGTTGGGTTTTTTCTTTCTATCCTTTTTTTTCTTCTTTTTTTTTTTCTTTCTTTCTATTTTTTCTTTCTTTCTATTTTTTCTTTTTTTTTTTTTTCTACAAACGTCCGCTCCCTTATGCCCTCAACCCCACCCACCCACCCTCTCTCTCTCTCTCTTTCTTTCTTTCTTTCTCTCTGTCTGTCTCTGTTCGTTTGGCTTAACAGCTTAAACGAGAGAGAGGAAGCTGCAGAAGGGAGACGTCTTTTTCCCCATTTTCTTTTTCTTTCATATCTTTCTCTTCGTGTTTTTCATTTAATTTTTTTCTTTTTTTTTTCTTTTTTTTATTTGGGTCTTTTTCTTGTTTTTTGTTTTGTTTTTTTGTTTTGTTTTTTGTTTTCTTTTTTTGTTTTGTTTTGTTTTGTTTTGGACGATACTTTTGTATTAAATTGGACGTGCCTTTTTGATTATCAATGTTTATTCATAGTCAAAAATTTTACTAGCGTGCATTTTTTTTTTTTTAAATTCCATTTTTTTGTCATCTCATGCTATTCTGAAAATATTTAAATGACGTAGAATGAATCATTGAAAGAAAAAAAAAAAAAAAAAAAAAAGCATATATGCATTAACTTATTTTTTTTTATATTCGTCATCGTAAAAAAAAAAAAGAAAATAATTTGTAAAATAGTTCGAGCCACCGTTCCAAAAAAAAAAAAATAAATAAAAATAATAGATAAAATCAAATCAAGAAAGATTTACTTTAGAACGCTTTTATAATTATCGGCTACAAATTATTATAGTTACTTTCGGCTCAAATATAAATCATTGTAATTAATTGATATAATTTAAACTTCCTACTCTTTGTTTTAATTCCTCTCTCTTTCTCATTCTAAAATATATATATATATATATATATATATATATATATGTATGTATATATATATATATGTATGTATATATATATATATGTATAAAGCAGAGCATCTGATAATCACTGAGTATAATTACGATCGTTATTGTTGATTTTAAATTAGAATCATTTTAATTGATAGGGACAATTTATATTTAGTACTTCTTAATTTCTCTCTCTCTCTCTCTCCCCTTTTTTTATCGAATATCGTTGGATCGATAGATCGATCGATTGATCGATCGATTGATCGATCGATGAGAAAACGTGTCGAAATGTAGATAGGACTTTTTAACCGTAATAAAGTCGTCGACGATAATTCTGGTTATTCTGGACAGGAGGTTGAAAACGATGGGGTGTATACAGGGGTGGTGTGGTGACGCGATATACGTGACCGTTCTATGCATATATCCATCTATCTGCCTATGTATGTATGTATGTATGTATGTATGTACCACTGTAGTTGGAAGGGGAGGGTAGTGTATGTTGTGTGTCTATCTGTCTCTGCTGTTGTCTGTCCTGTGTGTGTGTGTATATATATATATATATATATATATATATATATATATATATATGTATGTATATATATGGTGTAGTATGGCCTGTCCGAGGGCAGCTCGAAACAACAAAACCGATTGTCTGGCTCCTATCTAGAATGAGAATCGAGCTGCTCGACTGCTTTCTCGCAGCCGTCGCTCCCACGTTAACTCGTTACGAAGCCTCCGCGATTAATAAAACACGCTATAGGATTTGTTTAAAACTAGTATGTATATCTCGCGAGTTAGCCACGTTCATCGTTACTTCCTTTATTCTCGAAATATTTCCTTGATTGGCTAATATTTTCTTCCTTTTTATTCTTTTCTTTTCTTTTTTTTTTTTGTTTTTCTTTTTTTTCCTTCTTTTCTTTTTCATTTTATTTTCAAGCTAACACCTTTTATCAGCGCGTTTTCAACAACGCCTTTTTATCATTTTCCCATTTTATTTGTTTATTTATTTATTTATTTATTTATTTATTTACTTATTTATGGAATGACGAAATATTTTGTGAGATATAGTTATTTCAACTTGCGAATCATTTTGTAATTTAATTTTTATAATAATTAATATCATTGCTTAACACTCTTATTGATATGATTTTTTTCTTTCTTTGAAATTACAACATATAATTATTCAATTTTTTTTTCTTTTTCTTTATTTTTTTATTTTTTTTTCTTTTTTTGTTTTTTTTTTTGTTTTTTTTTTTGGTCGAGAAAAAACGTTCGATATTATATCTTATTTAATTTTTTATTATTTCTTTTTATTATTATTATTATTATTTACTTTTTTTATAATTATTTACTTTTTATTTATTTTTTTCCTTTCTTTTCTTTTTTTTTTTTTTCTTTTTTTATTTTTTACCTTGTCGCCCGCCCTCTAAAATTCTCATCGTAGCGTGAAATCCTCTTAACAATTTTTATCATTACGATCGAGAGCCAAGGCAAGCGGAAGTTTTTTTTAGATGAATACTCTTCTTCTCCGTCCTTCTCTCCTCCTTTTCTCACAAACACACACACACACACACATATATGTATATAAATATATAAAAGCTTATCTCTCCGTTGTACTAACAATTTAATATATTATTTCTCACAGAATAAGTGATAAGAATAAATTAATAGTGGATAAATCAGATTCATAGATCTTTCTAGTGAATTAAAATTTAAGAACGAGTTGCTCCTATTTCCTCTGCTTTGCCCTCCTTCCTCAACTCTCATCATCTTCCGTTATACAAATTACTTCATCATGTTTGTGCGTGCGCGCACATACTCGTAACACATTTCTACGTATATATATATGTATATATATATATATATATATATATATATATATATAAAACGAACACACACATACACACACACGCACGCGCGCATATAATTGAACTTAGAAATTAGCCTTGTTTCGTTCACATTCTTCGTTAACTTTATTAGTGACATTTGCAAGCTTTATTAATGTTAAAGTTATTTTTAATATACAATTATTAACTTTGTAATAAGGAAAAAGGAAACTTTTTTATTAAGTTCAATAACAATAAAATTCGAAAGATAGATAAAAAACGTATATATATATAATATCTTGAATTGTTTATTGAAAGTGATAAACGAAAATAAGGTTCTCTGTGAACAAAGTTTGTAAATCTTTATTTGTTAATTGCTAATTATTTACTATCTATATTCCTACCTGTGAACAAAGAAACGATAAAATTTACGCTTATATTTACACTATTTAAATTTTATATTTCACTCTTGTGCTATTTCTCTCGTCTACGTTCTATTTCTTATTGCCCGTTTCTCTCTCAAATCTTAACGGCTCGGTTTTGTTGGTAACTGAAGAATTTGTAAATAACAAAAACAATGAAAGGGGCAGAACATGAGACGCGCGGCCAATCTTCCTAAAGAAAGTATATTTTCTTTACATACATATATATATATATATGATTTATTATAAAATGTACAGTTTTTAAATAGCGTCTCGTTTAATTGGACGTTAAATAAAAAACATTGAGATATTGGATATTTATTCAACACTTAAATTAGAAAAGGAGAAAGAAGAGAGAGAACGGTGGATGGCATAATAATTATTAATTTTTTTTTTTTTTTTTTTTTTTTTTTTTTTTCATAAGTTTTAGGCATTTTAATTGAGCTAACTTTTCTTTTTTTAGTTATACATTATACGGGAAAAATATAAGGGTGTATATATTTGAGATGGATAAAGTTCCAAATAAGATACTTTTAATAGATTTGTTTTCTTTTTTCTTTTTTCTTTTTTCTTTTTTCTTTTCTTCAGCCAAACATTTAACGTGCGTCCGGTGTCATTAAGTTATATTTTCAACGAAAAAGGAAAAAGAAATTAAATTCAATTAAATTAAATTAAATCAAATTAAATCATTTAAATAACATTAATTACATTATATATATCGTATATTAAAATGAGACTTTTGTGTGATAGATCTTCTTGATCGACCATTTTTATGACTTCGTTGTATTACTTTAAAAAAAAAAAAAAAGAAAAAAGAAAAAACAAGAAGGGGAAAAAAAGGAATATTGAATTGAATGATCATAAATTTTACTACGTATTCATATTTATATGTTAAATTTAAATAATGCAATATTTTATATATGTAACGTCGGTGATATGAAATGAAAAAAAAAATATCAGGTAGTAGAGATTCTCGTTGGAATTAACGGATGAAAAAAAAAATGTTCGTTTTTGAAGTGAATAGAAAAAACAGCGCGAGAGAGAGAGACAGAGAGTGAGAGAGAGAGAGAAAGAGTGTGTGTGTGAGAGAGTGAATGAGTGGAATGGAAAAGAGCAGTGTGTGGAGGGTGTGGTGGAGGAGAGAGGAGTGTGGAATCCCCACAACGATGTTTTTAGTATCCTCTAACAACAGCAGGTATAGCTATTAGACCTTTTAAGTTTGGGCTTTCTTGTCCTATCCTTCTTGATCTCACTAAACACATACATATATACATATATATGTATATACGTATAAACATAAAATATCATAGTGTTAGATCTCGTTCTCTACTCCAGGTAGTTAACATCTGTCCATCGATCGTTATCCACCGAATGATTTTTCTTCCTGGGGAAAATGAATTTCATCTTCGTTTTGAGGCTTTCATTTATAAAACTTACGAGAAAAAAGAAAGAAAGAAAAAAAAAAAAAGAAGAAGAAGAAGAAAGGGCAGGAGGGGGGAGGAGAGGAAAAAATAATAATAATAATAAGAAATCCCTATTACTTCGAGTATAAATGGTAAAAGAAAAAAGGAATTTTTCCTTGAATATTTAAGAAGATTTTCTCGTTTCGTTGATTTCTTTCATTTGTCGTATGATTGTTGTCGTTTATTATTATTATCATTATTATTATTATTATTATCATTATTATTATTATTATTATTATTATTATTATTATTATTATTATTATTATTATTATTATTATTATTATTATTATTATTATTATTATTATTACAGATATTGTTATCGCGGTTGTTCTTTTTATTATTGTTCTTATTGTTTGAAGAGTACCCTTGAGCAATTCGACAAGACAAACAGAAAAATGGATAATGGATTTACTTCAAAGAGAAAAAAAAAGAGAGAGAGAGAGAGAGAAAGAGAGGGGTTTTCGAATAAAGTTTCTAACATAATAGAGAAATAAGATAACGTAGTAAATCTTTTTTGCGTGGTAATACATTTTTCTTTTTCTTTTCCTTTTTTTTTTCTTTTATTATATAAAAAAAATAAAAGGAAAAAAAAGCTTAGTCATTTTTATGCTAATAAAAAAAAAAAGAAACAATAATCATATATATGTATCGCTGATCTCGATCGACTATAATTATTAATTAGTTTGCTATATCGGCAAATTATATTACATTACTATACTTTTACGAAAAAAATTACTAGATATTGTAATAATTACGATGGATACTTTTTTTTTTTTTTTTTTTTTTTTTTCGACTACTAAGTCACGTGTAACCGATCGTTATTATTTATATTATGTATATATATATATATATATATATATATAATGTGTACATAAATCCATACATACATATACACATACATATACACATATATATATACATTATATATACATACATATATATACATATGTACATTCATATATACATAATGTACAAACGAGTTTTTCATGCATACCGTCATATTTTTTTTTCTGCTTATGTGTTTGTACGTTGTGTGTGACGTATCTTTTGAACGCCGAAACACACACATAGGCAGACACATAACAAACACAAACACACAGATAGCCGGTTCGACGAGAGAGAGACAGGCCTTCTTTTGTGTTCTGTTCGTCGTTATTTCTCTTTTGTACGAGAGAATAACATTTTCTTTGATAGCTCTCTCTCCCTCCCCCCCCCTCTCTCTCTCTCCTAAGAAGATTTTTACACAGAGTCCTCACGCGTGTGTATATGCTGCAATCTTATGTTAAGCCGTACGTAACGAAAAAGAAAGAAAGGGAGACAGAGAGAGAGAAAGAGAGAGAGAAAGAGAGAGAGAGCGAACGGTATTTCTATTATGTATACCCTTTGTATACTGAGCGTCTATACTTTGGTGGTGGATGGATGGTGTAGTGATGTATGTATGTGTTGCATTACCTAACACATGTAATACGTATCTATATCACATGTATACATACATATATATGTATGCTTACGTCGGTAATTCAACGGAGAGTGTCCTGCCAGCCATAATTAAGTCACGATTAATTAATAGCACATGTATACACGTATATGCATAGACACAGAGAAAGAGAATTCTCTCTCTCTCTCTCTCTCTCTCTTTCTCTCTCTCTACCTACCTCTTGCTCTTTCTCCTTGTCTCTCGAATTGTTTCCGTGAACTATGTCGTCCGTCATAAGCCATCGTGTTTATTAAACGAGCCGTTTATGTTACTCTCAAAATGAGAAATTAGACGCGTCGATTAATTCTGTCCGATTTGACATTTTATTAGTCTACCCTACCCTGTGTATGTATATATTTATGATCTATATACCCATGTATGATGTGTATGATGTATGTGTATGATGTATGTGTATGATGTATGTGTATGATGTATGTGTATGATGTATGTGTATGATGTATGTGTATGTATGTATGATGCATATTACGATAAAGAATATATGCGCGCACGTGAATCATCGTACATCTATGTATATATAAATATATATATACATATATATATATATATGTATATGTGTAGATGCTACGGACAATTAGCACAAATGAGAATAGCTATACATGTGCGCACGTTCAGTTAAAATGATAAAGAAGAGGATATATTATTAAGTCAATCGATGTGATCTGTTTTAAATGATGACTACGACAAAAGATTTTAATTACACCGACGAGATCTTATTTAGCATACATACATATGTATATATATATATATATATATATATATATATATATATATAGATATACAGGTACACATAGCATGTACAAATTGTATATATCTATATAT